GTAAAATCGAAAGTGATAAATAAAACAGAAGTGATTATTTCCGTAACCAGTTATGCCTTATTTTCATTGCGGCAATACAAAATTTGGCTACTGCACAGGTGATAAATGGTTTCAAGTCTTCTAGAAGATGGTTCACATAAAAATTGTCTGATCTCCCTGGAAATTTACATATTGGGGGCTGAATATAAGCAGACCTGATATCCCTGTAGAGTTTACAATGTAGTAATACATGCAAAATGGTTTTGTTCTCCTTGTCGCCATATTCTCTGTAACTCTCCCTTAAGGGTTCTTTCATATCTTCTCCAAAGTAATTTCTAAATTCCTTTACAGTGGCCAAAATCTGCCCTTGGAACATAGAGTTACCAACAACTCAAACTCTCCTTCAAGTCACATTCAATGCCTGATATCTACATGGACACAATCACATTTTTTTTTGACAAAATTATAATTATAGTTATTGTTCCAGGACTTTTTTTTAAATTTCCCAGTCTAGCCTAAAGTCCTTGGCTTTCTTATTGGTACCCCATCCAAATACTAACCAGGTGCTGCCTAACTCAGTTTTTTGAGATCAAGCTCAGTTAGGTGCAATTACCTAGCAGACAGTGATTCTAATTTGGAGAGCCAGTCTGATCTAGTGTGAAGGCACCAGGGTCGTAACCAGGAGCTGGTGAGTTCTAGTCCCACCTTAGGCCTGAAGGCTGGCTGGGTGGCTTTGGGCCAGTCCCTCTGTCTCAGCTCTACTCACCTCACAGGGTGGTGGTTGTGGGGAAAATAGGAGGAGGAAGGAGTATGAGGTATGTTCACCGCCTTGAGTTATTTATGAAAAATAATAAAGGCGGGATCAAAAAATCTAAAAAAAATATGTACAACAGTATTTCCAGGGAATTTCAAAATATGGGGGAGATTAGTCAGTCACACTGCAATAAATATAACTGAGCAGGATAAAAGGTATAGTCAGTTTAAGGGAAAAATCATAGTTCGTGAAGTATAAATAGGTTGTGCAGGGTTTTGAATTAGATTCCAAAGTGATTATCTTGGAGTTTGCAGGCATGTGTAGCAATTCTTTAAAGCAGCCGCAGCAGGCAAGTATACAATGCAGGAAATGAAGTGGATGCTTTAAAGAGCTGCAGACAGACATTATATTCATATTCCTGCACAGTCCAAAGCACTTTTTCTTTATTATTTCTGAATTCTCGCAGCCTAGTTACCAATTAAACATGGCATTAAACTTATTTATTTATTTGTTTGTTTGTTTGTTTGTTTGGTAAATTTATATAGCCACTCATCTTACATGCATGACTTTGAGTGGCGTACAAAGTTAAAAACACAAGAAACAATTCAACAAAATAGCCAAAAACGTAACAACAAAAATCATTTAAAAATATTAAAAACAATAAAAACCATTTTTAACGAGTGTGCAGAAGGGTGCACTCAATTTCCCTAGGAATACAGCCACTTTGGAGGCTCCATATCCCCGTTACTGGATCCCCAGACCAGATGCCAAAGCCATGTTTTCAGGCCCTTCTGGAAGGCCAGCAAGGTTGGGGCCAATCTGACCTCAGAAAGAATGATGTTCCAAAGGCCAGATGCCATGACAGAAAAGGCTATCCTCCTGGAATTGACATTCCTTCATGGACAGGAGCCACAACATGCCCTTCCAGAAGGACCTGATGGGATAGGAAAATGTGACTGGGGACAGGCGATCCTTCAGATAACCTGGCCCCTATATAGGTCATTATCAGCACCTTGAACTGAACCTGGAAGCAAACTGGTAACCAATGTAGCTTGTGGAACAGAGGTGTAACTTGCACTGTTCTAGATGTGCACATAACCGCCTGTGCTACCACATTTTGTACCAGCTGAAGCTTCAGGATACTCTTCAAGCGCAGCTCCTATAGAGCACATTACAGTAATCCATGAGGGAGGTGACCAGGCATGAGTGATTGAGTCTAAGGCCACCTGGTTCAGGAATGGGCGCAACTGACACACAAGCTGAAGTTGTGCAAAGGCCCTCCTAGCCACAACTGCCACCTGCTCATTGAGCAGGAGTCATGAGTCCAGAAGGACACCCAGATTGTGCTCCGGGTCTGTCTGGGGCAATGCCACTCCATCCAGAACTAAAGATAGTAAACTCTCAGATCCTGGTGGCCCCAAAACTGAAAGCTACTGAATTTTGCCAGGGTTGAGCTGAAGCCTTTGTTCCCCATCCAGATCCCAATAGCCTCCAGGTACCAAGACAGGACATCAACAGCATCTCTTACTTCACCAGGAGGTGGAGATATATAGCTGGGTGCCATCAACATACTGATACCATACCCCATGGCTATGGATGACCTCACCCAATGGATTCATGTAGATGTTAAACAGGAGTTGAGAAAGTACCAAACCTTGCGGCACCCCCACAATGTAGAGACCAAGGGCGAGACTCTCGCTCCTGATCAACACTGATTGGAACTGGCTGTGAAGGAAGGAGAACCAGCACAATCCAGTGCCACTGAACCGCAACCCTCGTAGCCAGTCCATAAAGATACCATAGTTGATGGTATCAAAGGCTGCTATGAGGTCAAGTAGAGCAAGGTTGGTTGAACTACCCCCATCCTGCTTCCACCAGAGGTCATCTAAAACCTTGACCAATGCTGTTTCAGTCCATTACCCAGGCCTGAAAACTGACTGAAAGGGTTCCAGAGAATCTGTTTCATTCAGGATCCTCTGAAGCTGCTGCATGACCACCTTCTGGATGAAAATTATCCAGTATAGTTGGGTCTAGTGATGGCTTCTTGAGGAGGGGTCAGACCAACACCTCTTTAAGGGGTAGAAGAACCACCCCTTCTCTCAAAGAATAATTTACCACTGCTAAAACCCACCCACGTGTCACCTCCTGGGAAGCCTTCACCAGCCAGGAGGGACATGGGTCTAATAAGCAGGTGGCTGCACTCACAGTCATTAGGGCCCTGTCCACTTCCTCAGGTCCAACAGGTTCAAACTCCTCCCAGATAACATGGCTGGACGGCATCCCCAGGCACCTCCACAGGAGCTGGGGGTTGTTCCTGATGGTTTCCTTCATGGTCTGATGGAGGCCTTGATCATTGCCTGGAATAAGGTGGTGGTGTAGGCCTTGGATAGGATTACGCCCATGCAGCTTCTCTCGTCTCGTGGATCCCGTCACTCTCCATGGTTTATGGAAGAACATGCACGCAAGCGTGAAAGCAAATTTTGCTTTTGTGTGTATTTTATATCATGCTCTCTTTTTACTCCACTGGAATCCACTTTTAAGGAATTGCACTGGCAGAAGAGAAAACTCCAAAAAATGCCTCCTACTGTAAATGGAGGGAAATGCCAGGCACCTCTCTTAAGTTATGCTGTTGACAACTTTCTATTGACACCTTCAAGTAGAGAGAGACAATACTGCTGCAATGTTCGCAGGAGTGAATAGACTAAAACTCACACCAGCTCATTAGACAGATAGCTCCAACTTGCTGCCTGCCAGATGCGTTAAACTTCAGTTTCCACAATCTTCAGCCAGTGATGATTCTGCACAAGATGAAGAAGCTGCTCTATTGAAAGAGATCAATCCAGGCTATAGCAGTAGTATGCTCCTCCAGTTAGTTTTTCCAGGAAAAAAAGAGAAAGAGAGAGAGAGAAATCTGCAACATATTCTGCAGATCACTCTTGCTGCTTTTAGATCAGTGTTTCTCAACCTTGGCAACTGGACTTCAACTCCCAGAATTCCTCAGCCAGAAAAGGCTGGCTGTGGAATCCTGGGAGTTGAAGTCCATTCATCTTAAAGTGGCCAAGGTTGAAAAACACTATAGATTATGACAGCAGACTTGAATATACACTGCTCTCTGGCTTTAGATTATTGTAACAGACATGAAAATACAACTTCTAGGATAGTGTCTAAAACTAAGGATGCCATGCAAGCATGTGAACAGGCATATATCAGTTCACAAAGGAATACAGGTTAATAACCTTTGAAGTAATTGCAAGTAACAAAAGGGATGAGCAGTTCATCATCCCAGAATTGCATGCAACCCCCACATTTTTCAATGACCTCTGAACTATGGCTGTTTAAAATCTACAGAGCAATTTCCTGCCACTTTGATGTGGAAAATCTACAAAAAATGAAGTATTGAGCCTCCACATTTTAAAATCAAACCAAAAGCACCCCGCTGCAAATATTGAAAAAAAGCAAAATCTCAACCTGCTTATACAGCAGTGTGTGCCTCCCCACTCTGCCCTCTGCAGACTTCAAATCCTCTGAAAATGAAGTCTGCATTCTCTAGACATCAAAAGTTTGCCTACTCATGGAATAGATCAAGGGTTAGCCAATCTTAGTTCGAAATGCTGCTTCTACAGGTGTAGCTCAATCATCCTCAGGGCTCACAAAGAAAGCATGAATTCTGATGCCCATTGTCTCTTGCTCCCCAGTGTATGGAACTGGTAGGCACTTTCTCCCTGCAGATGGAGTTTCCTTGGTGGCTGCTGACAGATACTCTATGCGTTCATTCAACTGCCCTTTAAAGCCACCTGAGTCACTGGTCATCACTATTGTAACAAGCCAGCAGGATCCATAAGCAAGCATGGGCTGGAATTGCTATCACCCAATATTTGAAATGGATCAGAGGTATTTGATGGTGGTAAAACCTCTGTTTTATCTCTACTTTGCTGATTGCAACCACAGCTCAGTGTGATACATGAACTGAAATCATGTAGCTTGTTTGTACTTTCCTGAGCTTGTCTTTGGGCCCTGCCCAAGCCAAACCAGAATTGCAAAGCCCAAACATCTATATGTAAATAAATCAGAAACTGGTCAAACAAAGTAATTAAAAGATAATGTAAGAGTTTTGTTGGACATTATAGAATATCTACAATATCATAATGAATGTTAGACGGCTCTTATTTTTTTTGGATGCAGAGAAAGCCTCTGCTAATTTGAATTGGATGTTTATGTTCAAAGTTTTGGAGAGTATGAACTTTGGAGAACATTTTATACCGGAAATTAAGTCAATTTATACACCTCAGGCGGCTAGCATTATTGTGAATGAAGAGCTAACTGAACCATGTCATATACAAAAAGGAACAAGACAAGGATGCCCTTTGTCACCGTTGCTCTTTATTTTGGTATTGGAAGTTTTTAACAGAGATATTAGAAGAGATGAACAAATAAAGGGCTTAAAGATCAAACAAGATGTTTTTAAATTGAGGGCTTTTGCCAGTGATTTAGTTTTGATAACAGGACCTTTGGAATCTATTGAGCATCTGATGAAGAAACTGAAGGAATTTCGGTCATTGGCAGGTCTTAAAGTAAATAAACAAAAAACAAAAATGTTAATTAAAAATATGACCCTGCCTGATCAAGATTTGTTGATGGGTAAGACAGGCTTCAGGATTGAAAAAAAGGTGAGATATCTGGGGGTGATTTTGTCAACTAAAAATAGTATGTTGTTTCAGAATAACTATGGCAAAATTTGGAATGAGGTCAAAAAAGATTTGGTAAGATGGGAAAAATTACAATTCTCTCTCATTGGGAGAATTTCGGTGATTAAAATGAATGTTTTGCCTAGGATGTTGTTTCTTTTTCAGACTATACCAATTTTGTCTACAGATATACTGTTTAAACAGTGGCAGAGATATTTTGAAGTTTATTTGGCAAGGCAAAAACCCAAGAATTAAATATAAATTGTTACAAGATGCCAAGGAACGAGGTCTGGGTCTGA